AGCTTGTGCAGTTTTGAAATTTGAATTTTGATAACAATAATAATAAATAAATAAAAAATATATATATATAATTGTTGTACATGGGTATTTAACATGGTTGGTCCAACCATACATCCCTCAAAAGAAAACATATTTAATGCTGTGAATAAATGAACTCAAAATATGTCAGCAAACAGATTAAGATCCAGTTCTGATTATTATTATTTTATATATATATAAATATAATTATAAAACATTATTATTTATATGAATTAAAATATTTATTTCATTATTATTTTAAACAACAAACAACAATAATAATATTAAATATAAAATAATTCAATTGATTTAACCATTCAAAAATAGTTCCAACCCTCCAAAGAAAACTATTTTGATCAAGTAAATTTTAAAAAATCAGAAAAGAGATTCAGATACAGTGCTGGTCAAATAAGTGCTCACCTCACAGTAAATACAGAATCTGTCCGGGCTCTTTCCAGCTTCTATTAAGTCTCCTATGCTGGAAAACTTGGAATCAGTGTCAGCTTCTTTGAGTCGTCCTGGGTTCTGGTTTAAAACTTTCCAAAAAAGTCCAGCGAGCACACAAAAATGGACAAGTGAAAAATTTAAGAGGGTATAAGCTGGCCAAAAACGTGAGCGGTCAAGGAATAATTGACAAAACATCCAAAAGATTTCAACTTTTGAAAGAGATTGATGACATAAGCTATCTGCAAAGGATATTAGGTAAAATTTTCTAGAGAAAGCAAGCTATGGAATGAATTAGGCCCGCAGTCAGTGTTCCCAGGTAAACAGGGTTTGGTAGCCTAAAGTCCAAATGAAAAAGATTAAAAAAGGTCATTATGCAATCATCATCCTTTATATTAGCAGTGATAAGCAATGCAATTTCCAATCACAACCCTCTAACCTTTGAAAGCTGCTCAGTCTATGATATTGAGAAATAATAACTTTTGCCATGCAGGGGAAAAGCACTGCAGAAAAGATAGCCCCATATTCACCAAGAGCCGCAGCTATAATGAGAACAGCAGCTCCGCTGAGAGACGGTAACAGCAGCATCCAGAAGTACATCACTGCAGAACAGACCATTTCATGAATTACAGCTGATCAATATCATTATACAACAAACCCAAAGGAAAAGAAACAGTGATACCATACGAGTCCTTAG